CTGACACACCTGTGACACAGATATTGTTCATAAAGTACTAAATGAATGATTATTAGGCTCAGGCGCTAATAAAGTAGGTCTAAACCCGTATAAAACTAGTGGCAATTTATGCCAATTTTTAATTTCCGGCAGGGATTCTAAAGCTCGGCAAAAAAAGCAAGATATCGGGTCGGATGTCCAGATCTCGTTCCCTGAATATAACAATAATTGATCCACTGGGTGCTTAAAAGGGTTATGTATTTTTTAATGCAAACTGTATACATAACATAATCATTGCATTTCTCAAATTACTAAACAATATTAGATACTATAAATGTAATGATTATGTTATGTATACAGTTTGAATTGAAAAATACATAACTCTTTTATGCATGTAGACGATCAATTGTGAATTAATAAAATTGCCCATCACATAAATAAAATAGCTTAAAATTCTTTTTGTGTCAATTGTTTTAGTTTTTCAATTAACCCTGAGCAAGTATCGCAATTAATTTGAGCAGCAATCTCAATTAAATTTTAACGTTAATTATATTTTTTATATAAAAAGTTTGAATCAAGTAACTAATATCTTTTAACAAAGTGTGCCAACAGTTCAAACTAATGTATTTGTATTTGAACTTGGCATGTTATAAAGAATATCATAGTCATATTAAGCTTTGTAAAATTTTAATGTTCAATTTTTTGTATATATATATTAATTTTACATTAATTTTAGATTTTAAAATAATTCAACAATTCTTGTCCACCCATTGGTTGGGATACTTCTGTCGCAACCAATCGTTACGACTGTCCATACACTCGGTGTCCGAATGGATAATATGGTTGGGATTCTGCTGTAGGAATGCCTCGTATGTCGACTCCTCGATGAACTTCAGGTCATTTAACATGACATTGAGGTCGACGGGACGGTTGATACCACTGAACACCTCTTTACGGAGGGTATGATTGTTGAGATTATTGCCAATGAAGGACAATCATAAGGTCTGATCAGTGGACACGTGACTGACAGCAAAGGCCTCATCGCCTATATCTTTGACGTGAGCCTCGATACTAATGAACTCTACTTTTGTCAGGTTTTTGAAGGCATTCCTACCGATACTCGTGAGGGACGGACTCATCAAAATCTCAATCCTTTCGAGACTTGGGTGCGATTGTAGGGCATTGTCAGGTATCTTGGTCAAATTAGTATACAAGAGGGTGACGTCACTTAAATTATGCGCAAGGTTAATCGCTTTAAATACGTCCCAATCGCCGTTCCCATCAACAAGCGGAAGGTTTAAATTTTCTAAACTTTTCAACGTATCCTGTGTTCCGTTGAGAGCTAAGCGATGCACCTTGGTCAAATTTTTACCATCTAACTCGACATGTTGAAATGTGATGTCAGCGAAAACATTAGCCGGCAATACGTCCACCGCTTTGTTAAATAGCATGAAATAGAGGTAATCTTTTTCATCGGCTTTTAATTCATGGCTCAGTCTCTGGAAAAGGGCCGTCAGATTGATGGGTTGGTCACCCTTACACTCAATGCTTCTGTATAAGGGCAGTATGCCAGGGTCAACACGGCATTCACATGGTAGAAATATATCAAGGTTAGGTGGACACACATAATTGGCTATTATACCACCGAATAGTGTCAATAATGTGACAATTAATAGTTGATCTGGATTGATTTTAAAAATATATTAATTTGTTAAATAATACAATATTTAATTAAACAAATTTTTTAGTAATTTAATTTAGTTTATACAGTACTTACTCATTTTACTCGAAGTTAATAGGTAGTGATTTAACTATTTTAGTAGTATTATAACTATAACTACAAAACACTTTCTGTATTAATACTTTTCAAAAAGCAATTACAAACAATATGAACCTTAGTTATTTAACTTTACACCATTAATAATCCCATTGATTAGTGGTTTAAATTATTAATAATAATTTATTATCAATAACAGGCAGAATCACTAATTGAAAGTAACATTACTCAATCAACTGAGAAAATAAAGTATAAAATTTTAATTTAGGACAAATCAATTACATGTACTCATAAATGAGATTAGAAATACTAGTTTTATATACGAATTATGAATTTCCATTAAAATGTACTAACAAAAAATCATCGAGCACGTCCTAGCTAATCCGCATTATATACGACATAAATTGATCCTGTTTATTTTAAAAATTATTATATATATATAACTGGTTCATTACATAGTAAAAATCATTCAACTACTAAATCATATCCAATTAACTAATTAACAGATAACTAAAATGTTAATAACAAAAATGAACTCGTTAAAAGTTTTAGTGCTGTACTCATTTACTGTAAGTCTCTCTCTCTCTCTCTCTCTCTCTCTCTCTCTCTGGAAAATAAATAACACTTTACCCCATATATAGGTACCCTATCGTATAGGTACTAATTGTAATATTAAAAATCGCTAATAAATTAACCAAGATAGATATTTTTTATATAAGCTGAGTTAGTAACGTTGGTTGAAAACCTCCATATATATTCAATGAGAAAATAAAAAATGTTTCACTAATAAATTCAACCTTAAATATCTAAAAAACAGGGTAAGATAGAAATATTGATTTATATACAAAATTACGAATAATTTATTTGAGAATAAGATCCTGAATTCAGAACCAAGGTAGAATACTCGGTTTTGAAAAAATCTAGCAAAAACCTGTCCTAGTTATCTATGTCCATAGCTATATATTTTTTAAATCAACACCAAAATTTAGCAAGCTAGTTTAATTCATTCGCCAAGTTTAGTCAATTCAAAATGTTAATTGTGTTACTGGCTAACTAATCATAACAATTAGAACTACTTAATCGAGATTCGTGCCTCGATGTTCCCTACTGAGTTAGTAACGTTGGTTGAAAACCTCCATATATATTCAATGAGAAAATTAAAAATGTTTCACTAATAAATTCAACCTTAAATATCTAAAAAACAGGGTAAGATAGAAATATTGATTTATATACAAAATTACAAATAATTTATTTGAGAATAAGATCCTGAATTCAGAACCAAGGTAGAATACTCGGTTTTGAAAAAATCTAGCAAAAACCTGTCCTAGTTATCTATGTCCATAGCTATATATTTTTTAAATCAACACCATAGGTTAACAAAACTTTTGATCTACAGAAATTACTATTGTTATAGGTATTAGTAACTGAGCTTTGTAGTCCATGGATAATACTCTATGATTTACACATTAATAATATACAAAATAAAAATATAAGTAAAAATTATAATGTTTTATTAACCCATTATTTTTGACAATTAAAAATAATTTATCATGGACAAATAAATCAAATAAATATTAATTTCAATGTAATCCATCATTTAGGCGGCTCTGGTAGTCGACGAGGGGCTGGCAGTGCGTTCATCGTAGGCCAGGGTCTGCTCGATATGTCTCTCAATCCCCTCCAACTCCAGT